ACGAGGATTTCCACTGCAGAATAAGTATGCATCACATGGGAAAGTACTAAAAAGTATACTCTTGTGATTGAAGCAGCCCACTACGCGTATATATGTAAGCATGACCCTGGCAAAAGAAACCTCAATTTTATAATAATTGTAGGATTAACCGAAATTTCCTTTTGTTTAATGATATCAATTTAATAAGGGAAAACTAATTTGTAGGTCCTTATAATTATACTCAATTTTGAATCAAATCCCTAAACTTTCTTTCTTTTTTATTGGATCCTTTAAGTTTCTACCGTTAGATCCATTACTCCCTAAAACCTAAAACTGTTAATGAAAACTAACACTGTTAAAAGTTTCGTTGAAAGTCTAAATCATCTTCTTCTTGAATCTCCTTTCATCGTAAGTCTGTAACCCCCAAGCTCTGTCTCTCCTTTTCTCCTTCCTTAATATCATCTCCTTCCCCCACCATTAAATCTGGTGGATGCTATCTAGAAATCATCCACAAGGCCTTTTAATCAAATATCCCAGAAAATATACCTAATTCACACCCAAGTCATTTTGGATGACACTGATTGAATCAATAAGATATATTGAGAAACCAGTGCATGAACCAAATTATTCCTATGTTTCGGCGTAGAGTGCTACTTTGAGATCATATCCATATAAGAACTTTTAATCACTATAGCAGCCCAAGTGAAATTTTGTTTAGTTATTGACATCATCCTCAACAAATGAGAAAGAAATGCATATAACTCATCCATTTCTCCTTCCCAAAATATCTCATCGGAGTGGAGCCTGCATTATTATATCTCTTCTTGCATTGGTGAAACGAGAAGCGGGCGTGATTGGCGGTAAGGTGGGGGAACTTTACGTGCTGTTACACTTTCCGAACCAATATCATCATAACAAGATCACAGCGGCTGTTGACTCTAGTGAGATCCTCCACTGTCACCGTCAGGAGGATCACCGGTCTAAGTCTCCAGAAATCCTCCAAACAGCCATTCACTTCATTATCGATCATGGTTACCTCCATTGTAGAAGTAGAGTTGCTGCACTGGTCATGGAATCCCACGTGGCCAGGCCCATATGTGAAGGCTTCTTGGTTGCGATGGGTACAATTGTTCAAGTAATAATAGCAGCTGTGTAGTCAAAAAAGTCAAGCTCTAATGGCATACATGTTGGAGATGGAACGGCGAGATGTATAATGGTGGGGAAGGAGAGAGAAAGCTTGGGGGTTATGGTGGAAGGAATTCAAAGAAGATGATGATTTAGACGGAACTTTCAACGGTGTTAATTTTAACTTGACAGTTTTAGGTTTAGGGAGTAACACATATGACGGTGGAAATTTAAAGGATCCAATAAAAAGAAAAAAAACTCAGGGACTTGATTCAAAACTGAGTATAACTACAAGGACCTCCAAATTAGTTTTCCCATTTAATAATTAGGGGGAGGGGATCATTTATGCTATGATCATATTGTACATTTCTGGGCTTAATTATTAACAGACATATAACAACAGTTTCAGCTAGCCCTATACATAAAATACAATTGTTCTTTGACAAACAGCTTCTGCGTTGGTTGGGAATCATTTGATCCTTTTCTTCTTCAGGCTAGATTTAAATTGGCAACGTGGCAACCAAAACAAAAAAGGGATTAGTTTCCTAATTAATTAATTAATTAATCTCTTTGATTCAGGAGCCAAACGAAGGGATATTCTGTTTACAATCCGGATGCTAAGGGATTGATGCATATCATAATGTAGATTAGTGTGTGATCTGTGTATAAATAAATATAAGATTCCCCGTATAGTTTGGTAATTAAGAAGTACTGTACTTTTGTGCTCCGGGGGTTGTGATAAAGAAAGATTATAGATTGTAATCCTATCATTAGGGGAGTATTTAATTAATTAGTCCAATAAGAAACCAACACTTGACGTACCGCGTACGGGTGTGAAACCTCAAGTTTGAACGCTAAAACCAGAAAGGGCATCATCAAGATCTGTAAAAGATTCTTAGCTTCTGCTATGGAAAATTATAGGAAAGGAGCATCAAATGAGAGCCGTTTGTGTTTCTGTTGAATGAGGAATAAAATAATGGGTCCAGTAGTTGAGCATTATTTAAGAAGGTGGCAAGAAGACAAAGAACAAGAGAGAGTTTTTTCTTAATTTATTTAATAATATGGGAAGCTTTTAGAAAAGAGGGAAAAGAAAGGAAAAACAAAAGTGCATGTTACTTCATTGAAACGAATGTGTATATATATATACAAGACAGCAGAGAGAAATGAGAATAATAATAAAAACAATCCCACCAAGAAATGTTTAGAGGAGAGGGCCCAACCACCTTCTTTTCAATCCGTACACACCGTTCAATTAAAATAAGTTCTGTGAAAGCGATGAGGCCCAAATAATAAAAAAAACAAAAACAAAAAAAAACTGCATGCTAACTCACTTTTGTCTGTGTGTTCCGTTTTCATGTTCGTTTTCCTTCTTTGGGAGGCACTCTAATCTAATTTAAATACAGGTTTTACTAGTCATCTTCATGGGAAACTCATAACAATTTTTTTTTTTTTTTGGAGGGCGAGAGATTGTTTGTTCCGTGCTTATGAAAGACTTTATACGGATTCATCTGGTACGGTCCTTGGTCTTTCCACGGCCATAACAGAGAAGCAAGCAAGGAGGTAGAAGAAGATGAGAGAGAGAGAGAGCAGGTGAACGCAACTACGCCGTTTTTGAGGGACCCACATGAGCGCAGATATCGTCAAAATCAAAGGATGAGTAGCGATGCAAAAGCGATGTGTACTGGCAAGAATCACGGAACGGTACGCATCATCCCTCCCCCCCTCCTCTCTCTCTACCCGCAAAACCACAGCAAATGCACTTCCAGTTCCACTCCACATTCTTGTCCCTCTTTGCACAGTCAAAAATTAGGTCATGATGTGAATGTTAGCTTATTTATTAAATTTGATTATTATGTGGGTTTCCATTGATTAGTTAATGGGAATGCCTAATTTTACTTTTAAGTAATTAAATATTGTTGCAATATTAAGTCTAAAACATTTTGTTGGCTGCACCTCATGTGATGAGTTGATTTGCATACAAAGTTAGGGCTGTTTGAAATAATTCATGAGTGATCTTTCAATCATGATTTATAGAATACGATGTGGATATGTGAGAAAAATTTTGTCTGGACTTACATAAAATGTGCGTATAAGTAATTTTAACCGCTATTCTAAAAAAAACCCTTATTTGAGTAAAGGCTCTAACTTATTATGCCTTTAGTAGTCATTGATTTTCTATCACAACAAAAGAAATATATCAACAAAATCCATGAATTACATTTTAAAAAATAAACAAAAATTGCTTCAAACTTTAAATAGGATAATGAGCGAGTTTAGGATCAATTTTATTTATTAAAAAAAAAGTAGTTCAAAATTACACTAGAGGTAGTAGAAACTTAGCAGGGAAAAACTCTTCTCCTCATATTGACAATATAAGATCAATCTGCGGTGAAATTTCACTTCTCTTTTTCAGATCTATAATGGGGACGCTCGCTGAATTCTAATTTTGAAATATTTACATTTCAAGTGCAAGTATTTGTTAAGGAATTTATTTTAATCTTAAATATAAGATGCTGATCAATTTTATTTTTTATTAATAGATGGTTTTCAATACTAATAATTAAAGGAAGTATTTTAAAAAAAATCAACAAATATTTTTAATTTAAATAATTGTATTTAATATCTATAAATTAATTATACAGTTCCTATCCTTATATTTAAGGCGTCATATTAATTCTAACTTTTCAGGTTATGGCGATTTGAGTTTTTACATTTTTTTAAAATTACAAACAGGACACCTTGCATAATGCCTAAATGATTCAATAAGAGTTTTTACATTTTGCTCCCAAACAAACAAGAAATAATGACAAAAAATATACTTTGATGTGATAAACTTGTTAAAATTAAAGATGCATGAGATAGATTATAGATACTCCATCCGTTTTTTATTATAAGATCTAATTTTTTGAATGGGTATGTTCGTTTTTACAAGATCTTTTTTGAATTTGTCTGAACATTTAATATATTATTACCTATTTTACTCATAATTTAATGTATTTAATATATTCTTTTTCTTCATTTATCTCACTATTACTCTCTCACATCTACCCATTTATAAACAGGGGTATATTTAAAAAAAAATATTTACTATATATTAATTGTTTTTAACTAATTTTAACTAAGTTAAAAAAAGATGCCATAATAATAAAGGATGGAAAACATTTTTAACTAGGATTTAGGATTATGTGATACTGTGTCAGGTCACCTAAGGTATGGTATGATTATGTAAATCGGTTAAGATCTTACGAGTGCGGTAATTATATATTAATTCAGTAATTTGAATTTCCACTATAATAATTTAATGAATGCAATTTTCTCCACTTAATTTTTTGGGGTGGGGCTGCATGTGCCCTGCCAATCAGGGGACATGCCTCACCAGATAGTCAAAGACTTAATTATCGGAGCCTTTTTTTTTTTTTCCAATACAAAAGTAAATAAAATATAAATAAAATCCCGCCAAACATTTCCATTTGTAATGTCCTCCACTGTGTCGTGTTCTCATTTCATTCGCGATCGTAATCCCCACAGTTTTTATCTTACGCATCTTCCCCCACAAATCAAAACTCTTAAACTCGCTTATTCCAACCTTTTCACTTTTCACTAAAAAAAAAAAAAAAGCATATTCTTAACAGTAATTATTTCGGTCATCTCATTATCTCGCACAGCGGCTTCTATCAATATCAGCAGTAAAATCATGGTGGAAAAAAAAAATCAGCAATAATTGAGAACTACTTTTGTAATTTTCTAATTAAACGGGCCTCTAGTCTTTTCTTTCCCCAAATTTCTCTTTTATTGCAAGGAATTCAAACCCGCTCTCGCCGTGTTGCGGCAACACAATTCAGTGTGATTGATATTGACAATGGTTAATTCATAGTAGAATTCAAGATGCTCTCGTGAGATCCAAATTCATTTAGATTTTTGTAAACCAAGAACTGAGATCATTTACGCTTTGCTCTTTTTCACTTCTGGGTAAAATTCAAAAAGAAGCGCAGGTAATCACTGAAGTTTGAACATGTGGGGAAGATGAAAGCAAAGGACAAAGCCAAATTGGATTTCTACAGGAGTTCAGGGAAAAAAATGGGTGTGGTGATTATATAGTTACAACGTACAGGGCACAGGCATTGAATCAAATGAAAAATTGGTCATGAAAACTACAAATTGACCAGCCACCTATCTCTTGCGGAACACGACCGGCCGACCCAGCCCCCCCCCCGGGGGCGAGAGAAACGACAGCAAGTTGCACAGCTAACAGAACAGATCTCTCTCTAGCCCATTCCGCGTGGCGATTTGTTGGGCATGAATTAAATCACACTTTGGTAATACGGCACCGGCACCGGCACCGGCACGGACGATGGCGGCTTGGGCGGCGGCTTCTCCACGGTCACGATAATGTTCTCCGGCCGCGACGGCGCGCACGGACACGGCGTCGCAATGAACTTGGGAACCTCATCCCCAGGCATCAGCACCGAGAAGCTCTCTCCCCTGTTTTGCTTCAAATCCTGAAATTGAAAACAAGAGTCAGCGAAAATTCATAATGAGAGGAAGAAATTGGGGGGGGGGGGGTGAAGAATGTGAGGGAGCGTACGGCGATGGGGAGGTTGGGTTTGGAGGGAGAGGCGTGGGGATCGGAGTGAGAAAGGGACTGACGGAGGGATCGGAGCTTATCCCAGTGATAGCAGCAGGAGAAGATGCCGCTGAGGCTGAAGATGATGATGAGAAGAAGGGCGGTGCCGAGAGGGAAGCCGAGGAGGGACGAGAGGCGTCCACGTGGGAAGGGGAAAGATCTTGAGTCTCCATGCAGTACAGCAGGCGGAAAGCTTGCTTCTACACTCATATGTGTAGAGAGAGGAGAGAGAGGGGAAGGGAACAGTAGAGCTGGAAGAGGAAGAAGAAGATGAAGACAGTGCAGTGAAGGACGAAGGAAGGAGAGGGAGGGGGTTTTTATAGAAGGGGGAGCGCAATGGGAGTCTCGCCGGGGCGGGGCGGGGCGCGCCAGGTGCGACTCACCCAATATTGTTCTCTTATTTTTAATTAACTAGTTTGGTGCCCGTGCAATGCACGGGTATATGTGAGGCAAATAAAGTGAGATATTTTTGGAATATGTTTTATTCACTAAAAGTTATAATAGAAATATTTACGGATGATATTTCAGTCAAGCAAAACAATACATTAAGAACAGATTGTCTGTAGAAACCATAGAGGCTTAAACCACTTTTAATAAATCCCTCAAAGCAAAGGAAAGCCCAGTAGGAACAGTAAGACTAATGTGTTCTGTCTGAATCCAAGGGTTAGCACAAGCTTAGAAACCAATAAATATAAGATTCCTTCAATAACATATCATGCCCATCATTTAGAGTTTAAGCACTACATGCCTTTTATAAGGCTACCTCAATTACATACATATTCTAGTAGCTACAAGCATGATAGAGTTTTCATAAATCAACTAAAAAAGTGTGGTGCAGAAGTAGCTTATTATATAAAAGCTCAAGTAAAATAACAATTGACTAAATAAAATTAATAATGGTAGTATCATTACTCAAATGAAGTACATACATTTTCCACAAAGCTATAATGCTAGATCTTTGGCTGATTCACCATCAAGATAATATATTGAACCAATCAAATTGCTGAACTTATTAACACACCTTCTAGGACAATCCGAACTTGCATATGACCACATAGATATTCAGAAAATTGGTAGAAGTTCACAAAGAAATGTAATTTTAGAGAAGCAGGCCACTCACAATTCCAAAAAAAAAAAAGTCATTTGTGATTTTTAATAGAAGGTGAAGTAGATGGATATTTAGCACGGGTTATATTAGCTATATCGATCAGCAGTCACTAGATCCATTTGACTAAAAATGTATTAACAGGGACTTGTGCATCGCGGTATTTGATATGAAAATTAGGTATCTCTACATCAATTTTCTAACAAAAGCTTCAAATACAAATATAATAATAAGCATTGATAAAGTCTAGGATAATTAAAACCAAATAGTTGTTATCACTTTACATTATGTCCCTTCATTGAACTGTGATCGAAACCTTATATATTATACCTACAAATTAGAAGAAAGAAAGAAAACATGTTATACATTAGCAACATGTTTATTTGTCATCATGACTAAGTGGCCTATCCTTGCATAGAGAAAAGAGTCAAACTTGGCCATTTGCTCCAGTACATTCAGTATCCATAGCATCACAAGTGGTGCCACTAATGGGGCTACTTACTGTTTCTTTCTCACCAATTAATGCCTTCCAAATACTATTTTTCTACAATTGATATTGCAGGAACATAATTTTCTTATCAAGATTCTCTGATTCCTATAGATAGCATTGATGATAAATAATCAGTTAAAAATAACCCATTGAATGGATGTATAGTACCTACTTTTGGGCATAATAAACTTAATCTATCTTGCATCTAAACATATGCTTAAGCTATTGATATCCTGTCCTACTTACCAACTCCACCTATCACTATTTTTTTTTTCAACGTTAATAATATAACAACAATAAAGATATACTTACCTTGATGCACCCTTCCTCTCTAAATTTATAATTCCTAAGAACCTTTAGTTCAAATCCATTAAGGCTAGCTTATGAGGCGTGGGAGGGACCTAGGTAATGGTATGGGGGTAAAATTTGAAATACAGCACAATAATGTGATGTAATAATCAAAAGTCACTACCACAGAGATTCCTTCAAATTTTTATTTTTATTAAAAAAAATTTCTTATTTATCTATGATGGCAGTGTAGCACCTTTTTTGGAATTAATGATCCTAACTAAACAAAAAATATTACTTCACTTAAGTATAATTAAAAAACTGCCAACGTTCATCCTTAAAAGAGATAATTTTTTTTAAATTTAACAGCCACCATATATTGAAGAAATAGCTCACGTTCAAAATTACTTGAAATTAGGAAATTAAAAATAAATTTGTAACATGATATCTGCATATTTTTTACATATAAAAATTCATTATATTTATTTTTGAGAAAAGCCTGTCACGTGGCATAATGTTAACATGTTTTGGTCAAAAAACTATCCACGTTCACTCCTAAAACGGATGATATTTTAATTTATTACCTAGCATATATTCAAAAAACTACACACATTCAAAATTACTTGTAATCATAAATTAGAAAAAAAATCTGAAACATGGGATCTTTTTTTTTCGTGTCATGCATGACAGTTCTATAAATCGTGCCCACATTTATTATGAAACTATCCACCCACATTTCATGGCATAATGGGGTGTGGCCTTTTTTTTTTAAAGAAAAGAAAAAAAAAACATTTATCTTATCATTGGTGATGCCACTTGTCATGCTGTCAGGTACTCATGCCTTGTACTCTACTTTTATATATTAATAGATTAATTAATTTTTTTGGAAAAAATACCGCTTGTCCCTCTCACACAGTCTCAACTCTCTGCGTCGAGGCTCCCCCACAAATCCAGGCAAATAATAACGACGTGGATCCTCTCGCCCTCTACAGATTTTTATTTTTTTATTATCTCATAAATTTTAATTTCCAACAATTTCACAATGACGATGAATGTCCCATGTATCTCTCAGTAGGCAGCGTCATTTTTTGTTGTTTGACCTGGAGGAAGCAGTCTCATGGTCGGTCAACATGTGGAGCTTATCATCAATTCATCATCTTAGCTCAGTACATGACTATTTAAATACGATATCTTACTTAAATCTGTATATGTAAATGCAAAGAATGCTTGTTTTAGCAAAATCATAGGTCTCAAAAACAAGTTGTGCTGTTTTTTCCTTCAAGAAAAAGTGAAAAACTTCCATTACACATCTATGAATGGGTAAGATAGAAATCTTAAGATGTTACCAATAAGTGTTCGGTTAAATTGAAAGAACTTTTGACCATTACTCCTTCTAATTAAAAATATAAGCATTAAACAAAGTGTTTGATTTTTTTTTATAAGCTTCATTTTAAATTTACAGGATCATTTAATGTATTTTTCTATTTTTACGCTTAATTAATTAGACATCTCTGTCATACCTTTTTCATACATTTTTTTGTCTCTTTTTTCACTCATTCTATCTCCCACTCATTGTCTCCATAAATAAAAGTGTTTTAGGAAAATAAGTTATATTTTTTTACATATTTATTATTATCTTTACTTAATTTTAACTAATTTTTCTAATTTTGAAAGTTAGTTATCTAATACTTATATTTTAAACAGGAAGAAATATTATTTTCAGTTCTTAATACAAAAACTAAATAACTAATTTATAAATATTAATAAAATTAGTTAATAAAGTTATTTATGACAAATATATCTTGGCTTTCCTGAGTCATCCTTTTAAATTATATACTATTTCTGATCTTAATTATAAGAGCTAGTTGACTAATTTGAAGAGATTGAGAAAACAAGTTAAGTTAGTTATTTGTAATAAATAGATGTTATTTTTCCTAAAATATCATTGCTAATCAAGTGTGTTGATTAGAACTATCATTATTAGAATGACTATCTTAGAACAAAAATAAATAAATATTAGAGACAAAATAGATTTAGGTCTTCTATTTAGGACCAATATAAAAGTCAAATGAGGTTTTATATTAAGAACCTGATGTAGTATATTGGAACTACTTCTTGACTCCGAGTTCTCTTAATATGCATAATAACTTTGAACAAAAAAATTATAAACATGTGAAGTAAAATATATTAAGATTTTATATTTATAATAAAATCAATCTCTTAACTAACTAACCAAGTAAGGAGGCAGTAGCATCACGTAATATTGCATTAAAAAAACAAAAGGAACAGTGAGCAGTTATAATAATTAAAATTAAAAGTTAGTGAAACATGATTGGATTGATTCATAAAAAGGGAAGCCCACGATTGCATATGAGGCCGTCCGGCGTGTGCGGGAGGGCTGAAAAAGGGCAACATGGCCGTTGGCGGCCACGAAGGGCCATGCGCCCGTGCGTTGCAAGTGCTTCCGTCCACGTGGTTTCCCTTTTTTCCCCATCTGTTCACATATATTACGAATATTATAACACTACGCGTGCACTACGAATTTAAGTCCCGATTAATAATTTCAGGGCCCTTACTTTTCTAAACTAGCTACTAGTTTATGCTTTTCTCAAAAAAAGTCATTCATTTCTTGTAACTTCAGTGATTGGTCCAAAGATTCATGTTACTATTTCTTATGCCTCTTATAATAAAAATAGGTACTATTTCTTGCCAGAGCTGATTTAGGAGAAGGAGATAGTCCCGCACAAAGTAATAAACTAAAATTTAAATCTCCGTTAAAAAATATGCTCACATCTAATCAATTACAAACAATACCTCAAATAGAATTGTTGCATAGTAAAATAAAAAATAGTACAATGATTCTTAGGCATAAAGTAAACAAAATCAAATTAGAAGAGGGCACAAGTAGTCGATGCGATTTAATTATAATTACTGTTAAAAGTCTGCTGAGCATTTGTTTATGGGAAAATTGTAAAAAAACAACTGTGAAATTAGAAAAATTACACATAGGGACCGGTTCATAAAAATTATTGTCAAAACTCATGCTAATATTGTCATGAGTCCCAATTTGCAATTTTTTAATTGTACGGTTTTTTTTTTTTGCGATTTTCCCTTTGTTTAATATAAGAAGGGATAAACTTCATGCAACTGAACATTTTAATGAAAAACGTGCTAATTAATCAGATAATCTAGTATGCAGGCCCATGCATGCATAGCCATTATGGATGGCCAGCATACATATCACGTAATATAGGTTATGGGCATAGGTAGTATGCCGGCCCATGCATGCATATATACATACATACATATATATACACACACATGCATGGATAAAAATAACTGAATTAAGTGGATAAAATTTTTAAAAAAATAACTAAAAATAATAAGTATGAAAAAAAT